GGACATGCATTATTCTGCATTAGCTTTAAAACTACAGGGAGGAAGTGTTTTAGAAACTTGTTTAACAGCTGCTTCATTCATAAGTTCACAGTTCCTGCAAAACAGGTATGTTTGTGTTCTCACAGAATATTCTTTTTTATTTTTATTAAGTCACCTGCAGGTCCAACCTTAAGCATAAGTGCATACATAAATCAATAAATAAACAAACCAAAACAAACCAACAGCGTCTGATCTCTGGGGGCCCCTCAGTTCTCTTGGTAATTCCTTCAGTGTTTTCTCTCCATTCAGCACCAGGACTGAAAAAAGGGATTTGAAGGGAGAGCAGTAATAAACTACAGAACTGGTCTTACTCTGGGGTGAAGAGCAGGTCAACTCATTATTTTCCCCATAGGAATATCTTGAAATATAAAGAAAGAAAAAAAAATTGCAAAATAAAAATATATCCCCATATTTTAAAAAAGGCAAACTGAGGCTTGAAGAATAAAATGATTTAACCACAATCTGACAGGAGATCAAGGGCAAAGCAAAGAAGAGAAGCCAAAGATTCCAGCTTCAAATCTTCTGCCCCTAAAGTAGGAAGATCCTGTAGGTAGGAGATATTATGGTAGCTTAGTTTTCTCCAGTCTCCACAACACAAAAGCCTACTTCTGCTCAACAGCTTAAAAGAATTCAAGATCACAGCAACAAAGATGAAAAGGTCAGACTAAACCCATTGCTCACACCGTACACTAAAAATATACAATGCTATGACAAACTGCTTGATGAACACAAATGGCAGAAGATTGAATGCTGGCCTCCCCAGAGCTAACGTAAGTTTACAGACAATTTTAAACACAAAATAATTCTGACTTTTCCAAACAAATATCCGAAAGTGCTAGCTGAGACTGAAGAAGCCCGAGACAGCATTCCTTTTTTTGCCTGACACTTTGTGCATGCTGGGAGGGGATGCTGTTCTTGTTCATACCAACACAGCCCTGAGCTTTTTCCAAGAAAGATGGAGTTTGGCTTTGATGTCTGCGAGAGGAACTTAGAGCTTGCAGCTGGCAGATATATTAATAGGATAGGCACTGGTGGACTAGAAGGGACCTCAAGTAGGTCATACTGTCCTATCCCTTCACAGCACACAAATGAAACACACAAATTTCACCATCCAGCTAGGCTTAGAATTAATTTCTAATGACCCTCTACATTAGGTAAAATCCAGTCATGTGAACTTTGCAAAAATAACAAAAATAGTACAGCCACAGCCACAGATAACTTGTTTAAAAACATCAATTAACAGTCACACAAAATATTTTTTTGTGACGTTTGCACTCCACTTCTACTGTTCACTTAGCCTAATGCAACTTAAATCTATTTTTTAAATTATTAAATTATTTTAACTGGGTTAAGGACTACTTTTGACATGTTTAAAGCATTAATTCTTCAGGCCGCATTTTGAAGCCTAGTGATAGTCCTGGGCTCATCTGACCATCTGTGCAATCTAAAAAACCTTTAAGGCTTCTCAAAGTTGCCTTTGACTGGAAGAGCTAAACAGAGGCTATTTCATAAAGCCTCTGAAGATGCAAGGATGAAGATGAAATAGCAGTATTCACAACATGCTCCAGTCTATCCCCTACAATGACAGGGTTTGCGAGAAGACTGCATAAGAATGGTATGGCTACAAATAAAAAATGAGTTTGAACATTATTAGTCTTACTGAACTCCTTCAGATGATAATCTGGCAAGTATGTAAATCCCAAATGAATGCAAGGAGAGCTCACAGGTACAGAAACCTTTGTATTTTATTCAGCACTTCAATTTGTAGCAAACTAAGCATCTTGTTTTCTGTCTTGAAGCAGAAGCATGCATAGATCTGGGAATTTAGCTGGACATAGCCATTTCCTACAAGTACCACCAACAAACACAGCTCAACAGTTCTTACATTGCTACAAAAGTGGTGGGATTTTACAGCCAGTGCTACTTTTATAAAGCATTTAATATTCTTATAAAAATCTAACATTTTTAGGACACAGGTTTTCATACACTAGATTACAATTTTACAGAAGACAAGCTTTGAGCCTGAAACAGCTTGACAATCATCTTTCAGCTTGTTCATCAGATTAACTTTCTGTCACACATCAGATGAACAGCTTCCTTGGTTTCTTGCCTAATCTAACACATAACCCAAGCAATTCCCTTCTAAAGCACAATCAGAAGCAAAAACAAAAGCCACTGTAACATTCCATTTCTTTCTAATAACACATTCAGTTTGAAATTTTCATTTCTGCCTCTAAGAAAGATTACCCTTTTAGCAAACCATTTACAGTGATGGGACTCTGATTTCAGATAGGATTAAAACAACATATTAGACATACACAAACCAAGGGGTCTGAGTTGCTTACAGGACTAATAATGTGTTATGGGTCCTTTCACATATAGGTCACCGGTTCAAATTGAGCTTTAGATGGTGATGAGTGAAAAGGAAGAATGAGGTAAGAACCCAGTCATGAATCTGGCCTCTATTCCTGCCTCTGCAACATATCCACTTTGTGCACTTGGGCTACTCACCTAACTACTCTTTCCTACAGTTGTAAAATAGCAGTAAGTATTATGAGTATCACACTAATTCTAGAAGACTAACCCATTAAGGATTCTTAAAGTACCCAAGACTGTCAGAGATGAAAGTATTGCTACTTTCAGGCTGTTCAATAGCTAACATGAAATAAATTAGGGGGGACTTTCTCAGGACAGGTCAACACCTCCATGTTAAAAAAGAAAAACACTGGCCACACCTGTATCTTTTGATAGCAAGATAAACATGGAAATCAAATGCTGAATGGGCCTGAAATTCCACTTTTTCTCGCAGGTAGACAGCACTGGTTAAAACCGAATCAAACTGAAAATCCAGAAGCAGCTATATTATGGATAAGAAAGACAGAAGGGGAAAAACCACATAGTGTGGAGACGCACTGTGCTCTCCCATTATACAACACAGCATGTAAATGCCGTGTCAATGTTAGGCGACAGAAAAGGGAAGGAAGGGAGAGAAGGAAAGAAGTTTATCACCCCTGCATCCCTTGATAAAAGCTGAATTACCGAAACAGCCTGCACTGCTGCTGTCTGTGCTGTTCTTGTTCTGAGGCTAAACAAAGGTTTCCATTTTCAACAAGTGTCATGCTGGCACATTTTACCACTTCAGACCCTTAATTAAAAACAAGGAATGAGAGAAACAAAGGAAAACAACACACACAGAGCACCAACACATTTTAACTCATTCTTGGGTTAAGAGGTGAAAAATAATGGTGGTAGAGAGTTTAGACACAACATGACAGCTTCATTAATAAGCTGTAACTGCTACAAAAATCATCATACCATCTCTTACATGGTCCTGATTTCAGAATACTATTGAACTATGGCTCATACACAGCACTGAGAATCTTTCATATTTGCAGGAAAATTTAGAAGGATTTCCATGCTTTTTCCAAAGGCTCTTCAAGTATTTTAACCACAAGAACAAAATATGTTTTACTGAGAACATATTTTGTAATTACTTCCACTTCAGAGTCAGCTATGCCTTTCTTTTCAGAGGAAGCTCATACAGAGCAATCCAAAGGACAAAGAAAAGCACAAGTACTGCGATCAAGAGCATTTAATGAGACAGTGTGCAACAACTTAGTGCCAAGAAGGAAATCATAAAGATGAAAAATGATGCCTTCCTCTAGTTACCAAATTTCAACTCTTTCTGACAGAGGTAGGGAGCGATATTCAAGCAATGAACTTCAGAGATACTTTGGCAATGGATGGAGCCAACAAAAGCCACAAGCACAATTCCAAAATTATTTAATGGGCTGTGCTTTGCCCAAACTCCTATTGACAAAATTATGAAGTAAACACATCAATCAGTGTTAAGGCATTACACTGAAGTTATTTGCTACTCTCTGACATTCTGTTTAATCTATCTTCAACCTCTTTCTCTTGTCCATTGAAATGAGTTGCAGAAATAATGTCAGTTTTAACCACTTAGTTGGTTTTGCCACCAAGCTGTTCTTGTGTTAAGTCAGACAAGCTTGAGAGGGCTGCTTGTGATCAACCAGAACAAAGATAAGCTGACCAGAACCACCAGAAAGTGCAACAAGGAGAGAAAGAGGGGAAATACGCATATTTTACAAAGTAGGAAGTCTACATGCGATTATCATGCCTTTGTAGGAAAGATGAGCATTGCTTTACATCATACATTCGGGTCTATGCATGAACTGAACTCTAAATAGCAAACTTCTCTGCATCTGTCCCTGACTGAGGGTACTCTGACTATTCTTTGCAAGTGGGGAAAGCTGAAATTATTATATTAATTTGCAAAACTTGATTCAGAATTATCTTTTCTTCTTAGCACAGTAGGTCCTCACTATTACCCCAAAAATGTGTGCTTGTCTCTAATTCTGTGCAGAAAAAAGAAACATGAAGATGTAAAGTAGTAAAGTAGTATATGGCATCACACAAACCCTCATATTAATGCACACAATATTGAGAGCTGCAGTTTGAGGCACTGTACTTGAAAACCAGACAAGCATAATGCAAGGGACAGGACTGAGTATTTGTTCTCCTTCATCTGCGACCAGCTGTTTCTCTTTGGAATCACTGATAATCATTAGATAAGATCAAATTTGCAGCCTAGCCTGTGTATTAACTCTAGCAGCAGCTTCAGAAGACTGAGAAAATAATGCTCTAAATGCATGTGAATGAAAGTACAATGCTGAGGAACGTTATAGAACTGACGTGGCTCGAAAATTCATACCCAGCCCTTAGAAACTGTCAGATCCTTTTAGTTAATACACTTACTTTCTTTTTATTTATAAATGGATTTTCAGAGAAACTGAAAAATAATTCTGTTCCCAGACTGTTTTATGTTAGACTTGATAACTCGACTCTCACAGACCCCTGCATATCAACAGAAGACTGCAAGTTATAATGTGGATTTGTGTCAGTGTAGAGTTTCAGTTCTGATAGAAGGGATCTCTTACCTTCAGACAGGGACAAATCATCAGCTGGAGACACCAGGTCTGCCTGGATCGCAAGGCCATTGCTCAACGATGTGGTAATCTGATTCGTCAAGATAACCTGCAAACAGACAGGGAGAGGGGGAAGGGAAATGAATTTTTACAGCTACTGGAAGGCAGAGAGCAACCCAGGTGAGGACTGGAATCCTCCAGGCACAGCATCCAGGCAACCCTCTACTCTGACCTTCAGCAAATTCAACACTCAGAAAATTTTGAACTACCTGCAGAAACTGAAAGAGATAATTGCAAGAAGAGCAGGAAAAGGGATATTGTTAAAAAGATGAAATACTAAACAACAGTATGTTGATACATACAGCCGCCTAAAATGAAACTACTGTTCTGAAGAGCTTCATTCTTCAGTGAACAATTTGATGCTCCTTACAAAAAGCATCATTTTCTTCACAGACAAATAGGAAATCTATTTTTCTAGTAATTTCCACACAACTTATACACTTCCTTCCTTTGGCTGAAACACAGTGCCATGGAGAAAGCTGCTGTAGGGATACTTCCCCACTGATCTGAAGCACAAGAGTACTAAATTTCACAGGGCTATATCTACACAAGAGGCTCTTTCAGTCTTTTTCAGGATCACAAGATTCTGGTAAACAACAGACTGTAGTACCCACACAGTGCTCTCCTCTGACAGCACGAGCAATGGTCTTGCTTGCAAGAGACGAACAGTTTCTTGCACCTTTGAACATGTACTTTTTTCGAATAACAGAAAGCTTTAAGGCAAGCACTGTGAACACCATAGAGAGAAGAGCATAGATATCAACACAATTATCTCCTAATGCTTTGGATCTCTAAGCAGCTACAGTTTCTGCAATTACAATTGGTCTCCACTTCGCAGACTGACAAAAACTTCAGAAAGTACTTTTTTTTTTTTTAAAGAACCAAAATGATCCTTCTACTTGCACTGAGAACAGGCTCCACTCCAAACAAACTCTCTTTGAAATTAATGGCCTGTCTTCAGCTGTATTTGACACAGGAGGAAGGGAGAAAGGAATCCTACATGGTACTCTGTGGGTGCAGTTTCATGATGCTACTGGAATAAATTAACAGCTTGCCATTGCTAAAAGGAAGAGAATTTCTCTGCTCTTCCCTCCACTGCTCCTCCCTCTCTCTGATCATGGCTTCCTCCTGCTTTCTAACACTTTCAATAGTATGATATGACGCACTCTCTATTTTCTTTTTCTATTTCAAGATCCCACAGAAGCTGTATCAGATCACAGAGTTGTAACCGCAGTGGTGGTGTTGCGGGGCATTGCATCTTCTTCAAGCAGCATGACGTGAGCTACCAACAACGCGATGAAGTCTGCGACCTCTAGCAAGACCACAACTCTTCCTCCCTGCTCACGTCAGCCCACCCATCTCTGTGCTTGTAAACAGGCACAGTGGTGCCTGAGAGCTTTATGGACTGTATCAGCAGGACGAAATTGAAAAGTTTGTAAGTCAAATCTTCACCTACTCAACAGGAGTTCAAGAACTTCAGAGCCCCATAGTCATGTCCCTCATGCTCTTCTGCTACTGACTGCAAACTCTGGACAAAGTTCAGCTGGCTACCACCACCCTGCCCAGCTTAACCATAGGTTGCACCTTTTGGGACCGGGCATTTATGACCACTGCAGAGAACACGGACATGGTAGATAACAGCCTTGTTTGGTCTTACACCCAGGCTAAAGTTCTTGAGGTACAACTTGCAATACTGCCAACAGCAAACACACAAGAAACACATCACACCCCTCTGCTGTTTCCCCCAGAGCTGCTGCGTGCACCTATAAGCACCCAAAGGCAGAGAGGAAAGGGCCTGGCACATACAACCCCTTGCAGCCACTGCTGGCTGTCCTGTTCATCAGATTACAAAGTGAGATTCAATTTAATAACAAAGAAGAAAAAAGTCACTTTTTCCTTTCTTTGTGCCAGGGTACTTCTCTTCCATTTCAGTGAGAGAGTTCATCCTTGTGATAGGATGAACATCAAAACTGGTTCAAGGCAAATGAAAGGAGGGGGTAGCCAAGAGTCAGGACGGATAAGGAACAGGATGCAAGACCTTTCCTTCTTAACACTGCTTTCACTTTGTCTTCACTGTGTCACAAAACCCACAGCCTCACTTACCCACTGAGGCTCTTCTGGCAACCAGGCATAAGATACACCAACAATACTGCACAACACTGAAGCTTTTCCTCGATCCAGTACTAGAAAATGTGCTGAAACAGAACACACTAACAAAGTTATACACACACGTACTGGTGGGGTATGAAGTTTTCATTGGCACACTTTTGTAATGATCACATTATTCACAAGTGTCAAACGCTCTGTAAGCAATGCAGTCATCCCAGACCTGTGCCAAGATAATCTTTGTACTGTGCCATCACATATTTTATTATTTATACACCACATTTTAAAGAAAAGCTACCGTGCTCAAGGATTTTTTTTAAATGAAAAAAAGACCTAAGCACACCATATTTCATATTGCTCTCCTTCAAAGGAAACTAACTTTAAAGGCTTCAAAAATCAAAAGAAAAATGAACAACAAGAATAATGCAACTGCATTTTTTTTACCTTTGAGCTTTTTTGGCCTCCTCTTTAACCAGGAACGCCACAGCACTGTTCACTGTAGGACTGTATATCTTCATCACCCTTTATGTTTAACTCAAGCTACACCTCTGAACTTAGATTTCAATTTCTGATGTGTCCTTCAATAACTATTCAATACTAACAATATCCTAGACACCCCGCTATACTGTTTAAAAAGTCAGTTTAAAAACGCAGAGTTCTACCCAAGTAAATGTTCGTCTCTGGCTTGCTCTGAGGATGGGAATTAAGTGTATTCTTAGTTCCGTGACTTCACTGATAGTTAAACATTTGCTTAAATACATGTTTAAATACTATCTTGAACAAGCACGCTTCCTCTGAGACGAAGCCATATGCATGTAGAGAATGCTTATTTTGGAATTAACTGAAAATTATTCTTCATTTCTGCAAGCCTGCAGAGCCAACACAGAGATTCGGTTCTCCCGTAAGTACAAGCCAAGAGCTTGTTAGCTAAGCACTAAATTTGACATCAAATTCCCTGTCACACTTCTGCAGCTTCACTTACTGCAAAATTCTTCCATCGGGTGTAGGTATTCTTATTATCAAACAACCAATATTCATCTTTGTGCATCTACCGTAATACAGTTTGAACCTCACCCTGCACGTGTGCAGAGTGCTCCAAACTCTCACTGGCTTAAACAAGCTATGGGTTGCTAACAAAAGGAAAAAGGTTGGCTCTTACTCAGCTCCGGTTCTGAAGAAAAAAGTGAAGGCACTCAGATTTAGAGAACTCCTCTGAATACATACATCTTCAAAACTTCAATCACATGCCCTTACTGGAAAGTACTAAGATTTCTTTTATTTTTCCCAGAGTAAAACTTTGATCACAAATACTTTGGCAGTGAATAGTGCCATTCAAACAAGACCCTATGTTTTCAGCAGTCCCCAATCCTACAGACATTCAACTTGAAGCCCTGAATGTTGATACCACTCGATTCCAGTGTCTCATCTAAAGAATGTATTAACTTCTCCCCAAAGTCTCCTTCACCAATCCTAAAGACATGCTTACACTCCATTCTGCTATCCTTTGAAATGGTTCAATGTATTCAGAGAGTTGCAAATAGGTGTCTGAGGGAACAGTTAAGCCTAAGTGTGATTTGGAGAGAATATACAGGTAGACAAAGGAGGCATGGAGTGAAACAGCTGTGTGACTTTCTGATGAGTAATCACATTTGTGCATGGACAGAATCAGCTGAGCCTCACACATTGATCCATACATGCGTGCACAGAATATAATGCTAGTTCTGATCTTAATGATCCCATATGTTACAAATCACCAACATTATGAAGAAGAAGGTTAGAATATCTCCCTTTGGTCTGCTAGGTGCCACACTTGAAAGAAACCACCTCTCACTGCTAAACAGCGCCTGGAAACAGGCTGGGGTCACAAGTCCAAGCAGACTTACTAGAAAGAGTGCCTTGCACTGAATTAGCAATAGCACTTCCTCAACTTTTCATTGGAGATTTGCCATTAAAGTACAGATTAGATTTACCCTGTTTAGTACAGGAAACCTGCCAAATCCTCAGTCTAAGTAGGTAAGGAAAAGTTGCCTCTGTTGTGGTTCCTTTTGTCAGATGCTGGACATCGTTACCAGCCAAGCATAGCTTCCACTTAAAATGTTCAATGCCAATCATGAGTTTATTATCTCCCAGCAGAACACTCAACAGTGAGAATGTTGCTACATGATATTTTAATGTTATCATATTAAAATACACAGTTTTTTAAAATACATCGTATTTTATAAAATACCCAGTATTTTAAGAGGAGCTCCTATTTCCACCATCAACTAATGGAACAAAATATTTTCGTTACCAGAGGTACCTTCATTACCACTAAGGCACTAAAAGTCACAAAAAACATTACACCTCGCAACACACAACTGTGTCCTGACATGCACAACAGGTAAGGAGGTTGTGTTATTGCTTTCTGTTTCTACCTTGTGATGACTGAAGAGTGTAGGGCTGCTTCAGCCAGTGACTGTGCATGAATGGAAAACATCCCCCACTGCTAAAAGAAGAGAAAAAAAGACGCAAAGGTCAGCTAGACAGCTCAGTAACACTGGAAATTTGCCCCACGCAGTCTCTTATGGAGTTTAATGAACCATTGCCTTTAACCTTTCAGCCTACTCACTTGCAACTGGTTAAGCTAGCTATTTAACAAGTGAAAATTTACAGTCCTCAGCCTTCCAATTCCAGCAGAATTACAAACACTGTAGAAATTCACTCAGATTCAAATTTCAAAATCATTTCTGGGAAAAAGCCTACTACTTAAAATACCACACAATTGACTGACCACACAATTTCCTAATCTTATGAAAATTTTTACTTCAGCATAGCAGCCTTAGATTGTAAAATAACCCCTTCTAATCATTAGAAATGTTATGACAGCAAGAAGAATCCTTTTCCCTACGGTTAGAAAACCTGGAGATAAACACAAGGAGACAGTGGGAACACATTTTCAAGTTC